GCAGAGAACCACGGATTGCGCTCGATACTTGCCTACCGAACCAGGGTGAGTGGAAACATCCAGCTGAGCATCAAGAGCGACTGCGATGGAAAGCTAGAAGCGAAACCAAAGCTCGACAAGCGCGGAATAAGCGAAATTACGACGCTAGGCATGAGGCTCTCAAGTGGAGGCCATTCAGGATTGGAGAACGGGTGAAGTTAAGGAACAACGATCGGCCGGATCATGACGGGCCGGGCGCAAGCAAGTTCAGAGAACGCTGGAAAGGCCCCTACACCATTATCGACCAGAAAGCGGGCAACTTCTTAATAGACTGCGGAGGAATGAAACGTTGGGTGAATGCTGCTCTCCTGCGACCATGGTACGAGAGGAAGAAAGGTCCTGGAGGAGGGGCGGGTGTAGAGGGGCCGCTTCCAAGAATGGCTCTGGGGAGCTCTTCGGAGCTAGCTGAGAGCGGATCGCGAAAGACGGCTAGCGACGAGCCTGGGCCCGGAACTACGGAGCGGGAACATGTGGACAGCGCAATAAATCAGACAAATACGCCGCTAGCGCAGCCCACAGGACCGAGGCCGAGCCGATTGACACAGCCCCGAACAAGCAAGTCGAGAGCTCTCGAACGACTCCTGGCCGATCCAAATCGGGTACAGAGAAGTGGAGATCGAGGCGACAACAGGAAGGCGGGTCTTCCAAGTCAGAGCTCCCGAGGCGAAAGGACTGGCTCGTCTCTAACATCCGTACCGGTGTTGCGTTGTGGGACGGAAATCTAGTCGATATTTGATGGCGGACGTGAGACCCTCATGTGCCCATTTTCGGTGTGCAATAAACGTCTACCCCCCTTATCGTGTCCTTTTCGCTTCACTACTACTACTACTACTACTACTACTACTACTACTACTACTATACTACTACTACTATACTACTACTACTACTACTACTATTACTACTACTAGTACTACTACTACTACTACTACTACTACTACTGCTACTACTAACACTACTACTACTACTACTACTGCTGCTACTACTACTGCTACTACTACCACTACTACTACGAGACTGGACATTAACGTGGTGCGATAGTTTGTGTGCCTCAGCTCTCCAATGTGCTATGCTGGGCGGTGCTTTTTGCAGTCACTTGGCCCTCCGGGTTGGGGGTTCGAGTGATGGTGGCTCCTTATTCCATAAAACGCGCTCTTTATAGTCCAGTGCTAAAACGCCGCTGCATTGAGGCAAGGTTTTGTACCAAACGCTTTGGTTGAGAACCCTAATCGTTCTCCTGTCTAGGCTTGGGCAACCGGACAGTATTCTGCCAATGCAATACATTGAACCATTCTCATAACAATTTCTTGATGCTCTGGCCGTCGCAGAGGATAATCAACGGCGCCCTATCTGCTGCATCGAGCAGAGTGGATAGGGGTTTGGATGCTACTGCTCAGACCTTGCCGTCTTCTTACACCCATTCTTATGCTTTTTCATCCTTCTCGTCCCTCTCCAACTTTACTTTTATCCCCCCGATTTTCAACCCTCCAATTCTTAACCCTTCCCAACCTTGCCTCAATAGCCGCCTGTCTTCCAGTTTCAAATCACACACAGTCGCATGGCGTCGTTCCAATCCGGTCGACAAGTCCATGTTCAACCAAGCAGACAACGTCAGTTCATTCGTTTCCCTTTGGAGTCCTCGCGTTTCGCTTAGACTGGCATGCCTCAAGGTTCGCACTTTGCTACAGATTGGCCAACAGGCAGCACTTGCCCGCAAGCTAGAGACCTTATCGGTCGATATTTGCTGTTTATCAGAAACCCGCCTGCGAGCTTCGAGCTCCGTGGTTGCCCTGCGATCCCCCACATGCGACACTAGCGGCACATTCTCATTGCGCCTGTCTGGCGATGATGCAGCTTCAAATGCCGGTCAAGCTGGCGTCGGCATTGTTTTGAGTCTCCGGGCTGAAGCTGCCCTGATCGATTGGATCCCAGTCAACAGTTGGATGTGCGCCGTTAGATTAGCTGGTTCGTTCCACGCTACGAATTCGCGTGGGAACAAACAGTGCCTATTTGCCATTGCGACCTACGCCCCTACAAACTGTAGCACTGATTCGGTAAAAGATGATTTCCATCAACAGCGTCACGAGCTCCTTCGTTGCAGAAGAATCACGGATGGATGGCGATCTAAACGCCCAAATCGGAAAATTGTCCTCTGATGAGCTTCATCTGGGCGGCCAACATGGTGTAGGCTCCCGTAATGACAACGGTGTGCGATTGCTACAGTTGTGTGAAGATGCTCGTCTCTTTTTCGCGAGCACAAAGTTCAACACAGCAACAGCAGAAGCGTGACTTGGCGCCCACCAGCTTCGCACCAGCCATGGAAGCAAATCGATAATATCATAATCAGTTACCGTCGGATAGACTGCGTCCAAAACTGTCGTTTGAGTTGGAGCACCAGCGTGGACTCTGACCACGCACTTGTCTGCGTCGACCTCCTGGTGCGTTTCGGTGGACGTCCGCAACGTCGCAGTGAGCGGGTTCATACCAGCCAGCTGGCGAAGCCAGGTGTTCTGAATGTGTATCAAAGTGCGCTGACATCCGGGATGAGTAAGGGTCCACTGAACACCGTCGAAGAGCACTGGTCGCATATTCGTCAAAAGTTACTATCAGCAGGCATGCCTTCATGTGGCAAATGAAATTGCCAAACTGGATCTTGGGTCTCTACGCAGTATCTGGAACTTATGGATGCTCGCCGACGTAATCCGGCTGGAAGCGAATACAATGTGGCTCGCAAAAATCGTAGGATAAAACTACGTGCTACCCTGAAGAAAGACCGCGAAGCCTGGTGGTCTCATCGTGCCTTGGGGATAGAAACAGCCACTACGGTTGGTAACCATCGTAAGTTATTCCGTCTGATACGGAAACAGGTATCAGAAGAACTGGTGTTAGCGAGACAATACGCGACGAGAGTGGACAGCCGATCCACAGCCTGCCAAAACGCTTGGAACGTTGGGCCGAACACTTTGTAAGGTAATTTAACCAACCTGAGTTATCGATTTTTTTTTCGGGCATTGAGCGTTCTTCTCCCTGGGCCGTCTCCTTGGATCCACCCTCACGCGCAGAAATCGAATGTTAGATCAGACTGTTGAAATTGCATAAGGCTGCAGGGCCAGATAGAATCCCCCCAGCCCTCTTCAAATTCGGAGGATTTGCTATAGTAGATGATTTACATGAGTTGCTAATGAAACTTTGGGAGAAGGAGACAGTCCCGACAGACTGGAGTCACTCTGTGATTGGTCCAATTTTCAAAGGAGGCTCCCGTTCGGAATGCTCCAACCATAGAGGGTGCAGTCTGATCTCACTTGCCACTAAATTACTTGCCTCTGTCATTCTCCACAGACTGACTGGCAATCGCAAAAGCCAGATTTGTGAAGAGCAAGCCAGGTTCCGTCGAGGTCTGGGCTGCATCGACCACATCTTCACCTTGCGTTAATTGGTGCTAAACCGCCATGTTTATGGGTGACCCACCGTTGTCGCGTTTCTTGACATAAAAAGTGCCTTTGACTCAGTCGCTCGATGTACCCTTTGAGACTGTCTGCTGAGGAAAGGTGTGCCTGATAGATTCGTAAACATTATCAGAGCGCTGTACGCGCATAGTTCTGGCAGCGTTAGGGTTTATGGCAGACTGTCGCCACCCTTCAGTATCAGCAGCGGTGTGAGACAAAGTTGCCCGCTGTTCCCCTTCCTCTTTAACTTCTCTATTGATGATGTAATGGAAACAGCATTCGCTGGATACGACCTAAAAGATGTGGAGCTACTTCCCGGTGAGCGGCTTCTTGACTTGGAGTATGCAGACGATATTGCCCTAATCTGTGACAGCTCCCAAACATGCCAAGCAGCAATGGACCGATTAGCACTGGCTGTCTATCGCTTTGGGCTATGATTTGCTCCCTCGGAATGCAAAGTACTTCTCCAAGATTGGCAGGGACCCAACCCTGCGCTAACGCTTGGTGGTGATCTGCTAGAAGTCGTTCAGGAATTCAAGTACCTGGGCAACTATATCAGCGCCCGTGGGATCGAAGATGAGGTTACGAATCGTATAGCAAAAGCTCGAGGTGCATTTGTCAATCTCCGCCACCTGTGGCGCAGACGCGACATTACTCTCACCCTGAAGGGCAGAGTTTATAACGCAGCCGTCTGTTCAACCCTCCTGTACGGTTGTGAAATCTGGCCCATCAGGTCGACAGACATAAAGAGGCTGGTTACACTCGATCATCACTGCCTTCGCAGCTTACCTCATGTGTGGTGGGAGAACCGCGTGAGCAATGAGCATGTTCGACGTCGCGTATTTGGTGCAGGAAGAGCGAGTGAACTGATCAGCACCACTATATCACGCACCAGGCTCCGATGGCTGGGCCACGTGTTGCGCATGCCAGCACACTGACTACCGCGACGTGCATCGTTTGCGCGCCGGGGGTGCGGTTGGAAGAGGAGGAGAGGAGGCCAAGCGATGACTTGGTCGAGAGAAATGAAAATCTTCACTTCGAAGTTGGCGTCGGTTGGTGCATCCCGACTGTCTGGCTGGGGTCCTAAGGACGATGAACACGTTTGGTTGGACACACTTGTTGCTATGGCTTGAAGCCGGCCCCAATGACGTTTGTGCTGTGAGTTCCTTTGTCCATCCCCTTCCTGCTTAGCATCCCTCTCCAATTACGATCTCACTCGTTAGGCATAATATGACTCTAATTTACGGCACGATAGCCAGTTGTTATCTCTCCGGAACGATGTCCATCCGTTACTGGGGACTCAGTCGGCGTGCCACCGTTTGTTTTCCTTTTCTTGTCTTTTTATTGCGGCACAATAGCTGAAGTGTTTTCCACTTGCAGCTAATGTGTATAATGATGACTACTATTACTATAATACTATACTATTACTACGACTACTAAAAATAAATAAGATTAATACCCACTACTACTACTATTCTATTGCGAGTAGGCTTAGGTTCTTCAGGTGCGTTTTTAGACCATCCAACTTGAACGTACTGCTTTAGATGTCCCTGTCGGTCTCCTGACGTGTATCTGTGGATGCGACGGTGTCTTGTTGAACAACGGAATTAGACTTACAAGCTCTTGCGGAGTAGATTCTTCCAAAAACACATCCTGTAGCAGAAGTCGATTAAGAACATCGGCAGTAATATTCCGTTGGCTATGGATATAATGAATTTGGTTTGCGTAAGCGGATAGGATAGGGGACCAGGGGTTAATAATGGGCGCGGCCATTTGTTGAATTCCTTTTCTGCGTCCCATTAGCGAGATAAGAGAATTGTGGTCTATGTGAATCACAAAATTCTGGCCGTACAAATACTGATGTAGTTGGTTGATACTGAAAATAACAGAAGCTGCATTGCGATCGAGCCGAGAGTACTTCTTTTCGGCCGCAGTTAAGGTTCGTGACGCATAAGCAACAGGTCGCTGCGAACCATCGGATGGTTTGTGTAGCAAAACAGTCCAAGTGCCGTAAGGAGAAGCGTAACAGCACAGTGCAGTCGGTTTTCGTGAATCATAATGTACAAGCACATCAGCTGATATCAAGAGTTTCATTATTTCGTTGGAAGCGTTATCGTGAGCTGCACTCCAGTTCCACGATTGATTCTTGCATAAAAGATGATGTACTGTGTTGTATATTCACACTATACGTTCCACCCCGCTTTGTGAGCTAGTTTACACACACACTGCCTAAGTACACATAACCCCAGCCATGCACATACACGTAAACGCTTGGCTATTGGTTTATTCTCTATTAGTCTCCCTCTTGTACTCGTCCAACTTAGACACCTGTCCGATTACGGTATTTTGTTTACCGCACGGTCGTTCTTACTTCGGCTGGTGACTGTACCCATTCGTATATAACAAAGTTGGTGCAAATGAGTTAATGCTGATGGTATGAACAGAGAGGACGGATTGACTGCTCCTAGGGAAAATCGCAGTTCGCTCACATTTTTGAAAGCTAGGGCCATATTCAGCGACTTTGCATTTTATTCTAACGGATACAACTCGTCACTTGACAGTTTATACCCAAGGTATTAAATACCTGAGACAATAAACTCACACTTCTCGTTTTTCAGTATCAGCCCAGATTCTGATAAACTTTTTAGAAACTACATCCAGAATGCGCAGCTTTTCAGCAGTGGTTCGCCCTGTAATTAGAATACCACCCAGATAGGCATATGTATTTGATGTTTTTCACCAGTGCGTCAATAATCCGTTGAAATATAGCAGGTGCAGAGCTAATTCAGAACTGCATACTGTAGCGGAGTAACGAAATATGTGTGCTTACGGTTGTGTAAGCCCGCGATCCTTCCTCGAGTTCAATCTGTTGGTACGCATTCCTCAGGTCCCATATTGTGAAAATACCAACAGAGAGTGATGCTTAAAATATTCTGTCATTGGCAGCATGTAACGGACAAGCCGTTTTGCCTGATTTACAGTAAGTTTGCAGTATCCACAGATTCTTATAGTCCCGTCACTATTTAATACGGTCACAAGGGGGTGTGTGATGGGAGTATACACTCGAACAAACGTGCGGTGCCAGCCCAGCAAGGAAGCCGTTAGGCTGCCGCAAGGAAAGGCGGAAGCTGATTGGACCTTCACACGTTTTTCGCATGCACGCTGGTTGGCCAACGGTTGGACGCATTGGAGTGCGTTTGTTTGACTGAATCAAAGGAGAAATGTCATGCATTCACAAAGGTCGTTAATTATGGATCCAACTAGCTGTATGTACCGATATGTTTCACTCGCCCTCTGCCTGCGTTTTCGCCTGGTCCCTTTGTTTGCAGAATATACGTTTTGTCCCTGAAGGACCGACTTTTTACATGGTGTCAGAGAAGGAGAAGAACATTAGTACCACCCAGACGATGACTGGAGCTGCACCGGCTATTCAAATGCCTTCCTCGCTGAACATGGATGAACGCAGTTTGGCAAGCAACTGGCGTTTGTGGAAGAGCAAATGGATGGATTTCTGCACTTTATCGCGTCTGGACAAACAACCGATGGCGTACCGCTTGACCATGTTTTGGCACGCAGCAGGAGATGATGCGCGCCGCGTGCTAGAGACATTGTGTTACGACAAGAGCGAAGATGCCAACAATCTGGAGACAATTCTTGCGAAGTTCAGTGAATACTGCGAAGGCCAAACAAACGAGACATTTCAACGCTACCTCTTCTTTTCGCGGAACAGGCGGCCAGGTGAATGCGTTGACACGTACGTCACTGAGCTAAAGCTCTTGGCCCGATCCTGCAGTTTCAGTAAATGCATGGCGGACAGTCTCATACGCGACCGCATTGTTCTTGAGATCAATGACGATGGTTTGACGAAGCGACTATTACGAAAGCGTAACCTATCTCTGCAGCAATGTATCGACATCTGTAACAGTGAGTCCTCCACTGCCTATCAGTTCCAGCAGATGACAATCCCAAGTGATTAAGAGTTAGGCGCCGTTTCCAGGAGCAAAACTACGAGGGCCAAGACCGCGCGACAGAAGCCCTGCAACTTCTGTGCAACACGACATCCGAGGAACCGCGAACAGTGTCCGGCGTGGGGCCGCACTTGTGTCAAATGTGGGAAGCGCAATCACTTCGCCCGCTGCTGTCAGTCGATAGATGTCAGTGCACTCGTTCCAGACAAATCAACAGAAGACACCGAACAATCGATTGGTAACGTGTCTCGGAAAGCGTCGCAGAAGTGTGTCTATGCAAGTCTTCTGATCGAGGGACGGTCTGTGCGATTCCAGTTAGACACAGGCGCGACGATCAATATTTTGCCCAGAAAGCACTGCCGCGGCGTGCAAATTCAATCGGATCAAGATTATTTGCGCATGTGGAATGGTTCCAGACTCAAGCCAAAGGGCTCAGCGACAATTGAAGTGGTCAATCTGAGAGACGGTGTTTCGCATCGTCTGCAGTTCGTGATCGTGGATGAGGATCTCACGCCGATTCTCGGCATTGATTCGATTTTATCTCTTGGCTTTGTCATTTTAAACCATGATCGTTTTGTGTACGCTTGTCAGAGTGAAGCCGATGTTAGTGACCTGTATCCGTCTGTGTTTAGCCCGGGTTTAGGGGAATTTGAGGGTACCGCTCACCTGTTGTTAGATCCTTTGGCACGCCCGATTGCGTTACCTGCTAGGAGAGTCCCATTTGCACTACGTGACCGATTTTCCGCGGAATTGAACAAGCTGGTTATGCAGGGTGTGACTGCAAAGGTTGATGAGCCAACAGACTGGGTTAGCCAGGTCGCAATCATTACGAAGAAAAATGGCGAACTACGCGTATGTATAGACCCGAAGCCACTGAATGAGGCCCTGCGTAGAGAACATTATGCGCTACCGACGTTAGAAGATGTTTTACCACGTTTGACAAAAGCTAAGTTTTTCACGAAAGTAGACCTTTCTTCCGCATTCTGGCACGTTGTTCTAGACGACGAATCCAGTTTCCTCACCACATTTGCTACAACGTTCGGACGTTATCGTTGGCTGCGATTACCGTTTGGCCTGAAGGTGTCTAGCGAAATTTTCCAAAAGCGTTTGGTGCAAGCAATAGATGATTTAGATGGCGTAACCTGTGTGGCAGATGACGTTCTGATTTACGGTTCTACCGAAGAAGAGCATGACACTAAGCTACACCGGTTCCTGAGGCGTTGCGTGCAAAAGAACATCAAGCTAAAACGCGAGAAAGTAGAGCTGCGGAAAGAGGAGGTGATTTTCCATGGGCATGTGTTAACATCCGACGGAATCAGGGTTGACCCAGGGAAGATTAAGGCGATACAAGAGATGCCGTCCCCTAACGATGTGAAGGCAGTCCATCGCCTAAACGGTATGGTGAATTATTTAAGCCGGTTCCTACCAGGACTCGCTGATGTCATGACTCCGATTAGGCAGTTAACTCACAAAGGAATAAATTGGAGCTGGGGGAAGGAACAGGATTTGGCTTTCGCAACCATTAAGAACCTTATCAGTAATGCGCCCGTACTCGGATATTACGATCCAGCACAACCATTGGAGGTACAGTGTGATAGTAGCCAGAGTGGAACAGGTGCTGTTCTGTTGCAGAACGGAAGACCTTTGGATTTCCGCAGTCGAGCACTCACAGAGGCCAAGAAGATGTACGCACAGATCGAGAAAGAGATGCTGGCAGTGGTCTATGCCATGGAACGTTTCAATGATTATACTTTTGGAAGAAAGACAACCGTGTACACTGATCATAAGCCGCTGGTGTCGATAGCCACTGAACCACTGAATAACGTTCCTCGCTGTCTGCAGCGTATGCTTATCCGGCTCCAAAAGTATGACATTGACATTGTGTACACACCTGGCATACAGATGTTCATCGCGGACACCCTGTCGAGAGCACATCCGCCAGTGGCCGAACATCATCTAGAAGAGATCGAGACAGTTAGCATGGTGCAGCATCTGGCAGTGACAGAAAACCGTTTGAAAGACATAAGGCGTTTCACGGAGGAAGACCAAACCTTTGCAGCTTTGCGAGACGTTATCCTCAATGGGTGGCCAGAAACAAAGAAGCAGCTCCCGAAGGAATTAACACCCTACTTCAATTTTCGGGACGAACTCACTGTCTGTGACGGTCTGTTGTTCAAGAGAAGTCGAATCCTAATCCCTTCTTCTCTCCGAAAGGAGATGCTGGAGCATGTCCATCGCGCTCACCTGGGTGCAAATTACACCATTAATCGAGCAAGAGAACTGATGTTCTGGACAGGAATGACAGGTCAGATCAAGGATCATGTGTCTAACTGTGAGGCGTGCCGTTCACACGACATTCGGCAAACGAAAGGACCAATGATGCTGCATGATGTTCCGGACCGACCGTGGCAAAAGGTAGCAGTGGATCTATTCTGGGACAACGGAAAGGATTACTTACTCACGGTGGACTACTATAGTGATTACTTTGAAATCGATTTACTCACCACCACCACCACCACCACGGAGGCAGTAATCAACAAACTCAGATGTCAATTCGCACGGCACGGGATACCAGAGGAGCTAGTCTCGGACAACGGTCCCCAGTTCAGCAGCAGGGCATTCCAGGCTTTCGCAACCAAATGGGAATTCGCACACCGGCAAACCAGTCCCTATCACAGTCAATCAAATGGGAAGGCACAGTCGGCAGTGAAGCAAGCCAAGCGACTATTGGCGAAGGCTAGAGATACTCGGGAGGACCCATACCTCATGCTACTGGAGAGTCGCAACACTCCTTCAACGGATATCGGCCTGAGCCCAGTGCAGCGCCTATACAGTCGAAGGACCAGAACTGTGATGCCTGCATCCGCAACACTTCTGCGCCCTGTCACGCCACAACTTGAGAAAGTACAGAACAGTATGAAAAGGCGAATGGCTACTCAGGAACGGTGCTACGACAACGGCGCACGGGAATTACCTGAGCTGACAGTGGGGGAAGAAGTAGGGGTTGAACCAATTCCCGATGGACAGGAGCGGTGGAGAAAAGGAGTCGTGGCTGCGAAAGTCGGTGAAAGGTCATACGAAGTAAATGTTGGAGGGAAGAAGCTGAGAAGAAACCGAGTGCAGCTG